ATATTTCCCCATGGCCGGGTAACTAAGTCCAAATTCCCCCCCCCCCCTCTGCCAGTTTATTATAATCCTTTCATAGGTCTTTATAAAGTTTTCCGGTATGTTTCATTAGAAACAGATTGAAAAACCATCCACAGAACTTATTCAGCTAATGGTTGCGCTCAACCAACATGATTGCAAGTTTGTTCGTTGCTCTGTGGCCTAGCCTGGTTGTGAGAACCCAACCCGCTTGGTTAGTTTATGGTTCCAGGTATTGTGTGAACCCAGAAAATGGGTTAATTCAGTAACCAGGTTGGGCAATGATCAGGGGTGCAGCCCAGAGAATTGTGGCTTAACTCTCAGCCTTCCCACAAACCTGACTTACCTTGGGCATAAAGAGTCAACACGGCTTGGATCGCAATATAGACGCCATCAAACTGGTATGTTTCAAACATAACCTGGATTGGATGGGGAAAGACCAGAAGATAGTTTTCCATAAATAAGCCACGTTCACCTTTTACAGGCGCTTATAATCTTGAATAAATCTTTCAGTAGCTGCCGATAACAACCCCAGCAGGTTATCCTTTCCCATCAAAACAGGAATTGTTCGTTGTTCTTTATTCACAAAGTATTATCTGCGTGGTGCAGTGTGAAATAAGAATGTAAAATAGCACATCTGAAAAGGAGGTCCACTTCTGGAAGTTACATCTAAGCAGGGGTAATTACATTGAAAAGAGCTGACCTTGGGGACAGTTAGATTTTACAAAACCTGCTCTTGGGGAAATGTATATGTTCAAAAGGGAACATAGAAATTTATATGATTGCAAATGAAAGGCAGGTAATGTGCATTAAAAAAAAGGCTCCAGGGGTACATTCATTAGCAACTATGTAAAACAGGGTGAGATATACAGGTAGTCCTCGCTTAATGACCACAATTGGGACCAGAATTTAAATTGCTAAGCGATGTGGTCATTAAGGGAATCATATTTGTATTTGTATTTTGTATGATGTGGCTGCACCCAATTTGTGACCTCTTTTGCGGTGGTCATTAAACGAATCACACAGTTCCCCACTGATTTTGCTTGCTGGAAGCCGGCTGGGAAGGTTGCAAATGGTGATCACGTGACCCCAGGATGCTGCAACCGTTGTAAGTGCGAGCTGGTTGCTAAGCGCCTGGATCGCAATCACATGACTGCGGGGATGCTACAACAGTCGTCACTTTGGGCACCAGTCGTAAGTCACTTTAGGGTCGTTATAACTCCGAACTGTCGCTAAACAAATGGTCGTTAAGCGAGGACTACCTGTATATAAACTCGCCTGTGGTTGGTTAACATACAAACATTTCAAGTCATACATTTTTTTGCAGATAACAAAATGGCTAATAAAAACTATGGATAATAAAATACTGTGCATCATAAAAAGGGTAGCTGGGCTGAAATAAAGGCTGCAATTTATTCAAATCACCTTGCTTGAAAGCCTTCCACTAAGACTCTCTAATAGGTCCCCCCAGTCCCGCGTACCTCGATGATCTTCTCTCGGTTCTTGGTGGGATTCATGGGCGGCTCCGTGAGCAGAATCTTACACTTACGGGGGTCAATGTTGAGTTTCTCAGGCCCAAAGGTATAATCCCACAAGTATTTCATGTCATCCCAGTTGCGCACAATCCCGTTCTCCATGGGGTAGTTCACCTCCAACATGGAACGCAGCTTGCTGGCATCATCACCCACCATGAGGTCCTGCAGGGACGAAACCCATGTGGGTCTATCCTCTGGGTTACAACCGTGCCCGCAGGAATGAACGGGGCGTGCGCACACACAGACAGCAGAAGCCACATCGCACGTGGGCGGAAGGAGATACGGAGGTAAGAACAGTAGGTGGGCAGTGTGAAGAACCAAAGAGGTGATCTTGGAGAAACTAGGTAACAGCAGTTACAAAAACATAATTTAAGCCCAGGATAAGAAGGATAAGAAGAAGACATGAGAAAGAACTGATTCAGCCTTAACTTTCCTTGGTATAAAAGGGAGGAAAGGAGAAAACACCGACAAGCTTTCAAC